CATCTTAGACCCTGCTGCCAAACTGAACAAAGATAAAGAAAAAAATCCTCACATTTCTGAGAGAAACGGCCATTAGTTAAGAGATAGGGGAGAGGGTAATCAGTGAATAACAAGTGGGCAAACAGCTGTCCTGGAAAATAATTAACCAGGTGAGTTTATTTTAAAGCATTTTGAGACCAAATTATTAGGATATAACAAAAATGGCTAAAATCATTTTGAAAATTATCAAGCAAGTTCTACAATATCCACTAAAATTAATATTTAGAATAGGTGACTAACTTTAAAAATTCAAAATTAAATTTAGCCTAGTACATAAAAATTATATGATGTGAAGTTAAAATAAATATACTCTTTTAGAAAAACAATAACATTCATTTATGAGATTGTTTATCTGATAAACTCAAGGATACAGAATACAGATGAAATGAAAATCTTTTAAAAAGATCCAAATAAGTTCATGTATGAAAGTTTACTGTTGTTATGGTTAAGTGGGTCCTTCTGTCTTACTAGAGAATATCTATTGTTATAACACAGACAGTACTACAACTTTGGTTATTTTCTGGTACAGAGTAAAACTAGATGAGAGGAAGCAGAATAGCAAGAGATAGCCATGTGAACAGCAACTAGAATTAATTTGACTACAGAGGGAAAAATCAAATAATAAATTTCATTCATTCACAAATATGTATTTGTATCCATGATGTGACTAACTGATCTAAATGCTAGGAAAATAGTATTAATAAGACAGACAAAAAAAATTCCTAATTTCATGGAGATTACATTCTTATCTAGTAAGACAGATCATGAACAACAACAAAAAAAATAATCAAGAAAATCACAACCTAGTAAGTATAATGTTGTCATTTTAATTGTAATGTAGAAAGCTGTCCAACATGGCAATTCTACCAAGTGATAGAATTGGGAATGAATTTAGCTATGTTTTATTCCAAAGAGATAGTCTAATGATGAATTTGCTTCATAGATCAAGGTTTAAAATTATACATTTACTTGTGTGATTATTTGGTTGATGTCATTTTTATGCAACTAGACTCTATGCTAAAAGAACAGAGAGTTTATCTGTCTTGTTCAGCTTTGTATATCCAGGGCCCTTTCCAACACTTGGCATACTGAAGTCAGTAGGTATCAGTTCACTATTAAATGAATTCTTTTAAAAATACAGCTACTAGGCCCTCCCTGGTGGCGCAGCGGGTTAAAAATTAAGAGCATTAAGAAGCTGGGGCCACTTGCGCATGAGTTCGATTCCCGCCTGCCCTGGGGGCAACCACATGGCGTGGCAGACCTCTCCTGGGCTGCCCGCTGCTCCCCTCAGCAGTGTACTTCGTAGATCTGCCTGTTCTGCTCCCCACTCTGTCCCTGGTGAATCCTCTCACCCTCCGCATCTCTGGCCTGTACCCCAGTTCTGTATGAATAAATAAATAAATCTTTTAAAAAAAATAAAGCTACTAATCTCAATAGAACTCATAACGATAAGCCTAATTCATCAAAAAAAACCAAACAACTACAACAACAAAACTGAATTAAGGTCAGCATTATCCAAGAAAGGCAATGAATACGTGAAATTTACTTAAACTAATTCTTCCCCCAATGGTTTATTTGACAGTGTTTGGATCCTGAGTAGAATCCTTTTCCCTCTTATTTGTAGGAAAGAGGTTTTGGTACCTCTTTCCATACTGACTTCTAGAGCATGCTTTAAAGTTACTAAGACATGGTGAGTAATGTACTTTCTATTTATTAAATATTTTGATTAACATAAAATCACTGCATCTAAAGCAAGTAACACACTTTAGGTTGATTGAAATCTTTATGCTCTCACTGTTCATAAAAAGGAATTCCTCAGAAAGCAGTTAAATGGAAATAGTACCTTTAAAAACTACTTTAGAAAACATTTTGTCACTAAATTTATGAATAGAGATAACTTATTTGCCCCAGGTCACAAAATATCTATACCAAAAATAATACATAAAACTATTTACTCTCATAACCACAATACATAAAAGACATCATAATTAAGAATAAACAAAAAGTAAAACTTTTCTTTGCAGAGATAAGATTAGGGCAGATTTTTTGCTAGGGCAAATACAGTGTTCCAAGAAGATGTGTGAAGCTCTCCACAGCCACTGCAGCATGAGTTCAATCCCTGGCTAGGGAGCTGACCCACATATGGAGCATCAGAACTCTCCTGTCTTGCCTGCTGCTCCTCTCAGCAGTGTATTTCAGTCAATCCACCTATCCTGCTTCCCATACTGTCTCTGGTGAATCCTCTCACCAACTGCACCTCTGGTCTACACTTCAGTTCTTTGCCAAAAAAAAAAAAAAAAACTTTTAAAACAATTACAATTACCTAGGGAATTATTATGAAATTGTTCTGAAATGAATTGCTTAATATTACATGTCACATACACAGTCTGATCATAGTTGTGCTAAAATGCATAGTGAAGAACAAAAAATAAAGACCCCAAAACTCTACTATTTTAAATTTTTAAATCTTCCTTTATGGAAAGTAGCTTTGTTGCATTTTCTGGCAAATGATATAAAATAAATAAGCTCTTACTTTCAAGGAACACATAATGTTTTGTTTTTTGTTTTAAGATTTATTTATTTATGCTTACAGAACCAGGGTACAGGCCAGAGGTGTGGTGGATGAGAGGATTCACCAGAGAAGAGTGGTGAGCAGAAGAGGCAGATATACTGAAATACACTGCTGAGGGGAGCAGCAAGAGGATCAGTAGAGGTCTTCCGCGTCCTGTGGATCACCTCTCTGGCCAGGAATCTAACTCATGCTGCAGAGGCTTTGAGGAGCCTAACAGTGCAGTGCTTTAACCTGTCGCGCCACCAGGGAGAGCCCGGGACACATAATGTTTTGACAACAAACGTGAAAATAAAACTTTCTGGAAAGACTTCTGTTGTGAAAGATTCATGTTGTGAACAAAAAAAAAAAAAAAATAATGAAATTAGCAAGGTAATATTAACTAAAACATTTACACATTATTACATGACAAAAACTTGTAACATAAACTTTTACCTGACTTTAAATCTATCAAATCAATATTTTAGTACCTTTTGAACTTGTTACAAAGTTTCAAATCAAAGTTCTTAGGAACAACTAATTCATATCAGAAAAGATGGCTATTACTAGATTATTTTAAAAAATCTTTATTAATAGACAGGATTTTTTAAAGTTATGATATAATAAGGATAGTCAATTTAAATTTATTTTATTTGGATTTATGTAAATCTATGAGGTATTTTTTTTTTCAGATTAATTTTATTTATGCATACAAGAACTGGAGTACCAGAGGTACAGGGAGTAAGGATTCACTAGGGACAGAGTAGGGAGCAGAACTGGTGGATCTACTGAAATACACTTCTGAGGGGAGCAGGAAGCAAGAGAGGAGAGGTCTGCTGTCTCATGGGTTAGCTGGTTAGCTTCCAAGCTGGGATCAAATACACGCTACAGTGTCTTCATAGCACTACGACTTTGACCCCTGAATCACCAGGCAGGCCTGTTAGGTATCCTTTTAAACTATGACAGTTATTAAAATCAAATATTCAAACAACTGAACATAATTCTATTATATATTTTAAGGATTTGCATATTTTACCTAGATCTATTCACTGTCTATTGAGTTACTCATTTTTGTATTCCTAGGACTTTGACTATATGGCAACAGTAAACAGACATGCAATAAAAATTTAGTGAATGAATAACTGAAAATATAGCAAGCACATTAAAATTAAAATATGTATAAAACATACGCACTACACTAATGCAAGTGTATGTATAATAGTATAGTGGCTTGTTAGGCAAACAAAATATTATCTAAATTGTGTTTGGCCCCAAGTCACAATGTTCATACACCTGTAATCACAACTTTTTAATTAGGATATGTTCTCATACATAACTGTCCTATGCACATATGAAAATCTTTACTTTCAAAAGTAATCATCAGTAATACAACGTATGAATATAACGTAAGCCAAAAAATAAAGCAAACCAACAGAATTGTTTCTATACAGAACAATGAATAAATGAACCAGCACAAATAAAGCTGCTAATATACTTAAAAATTAGACTTTCAAAACAACAAATATAAAAATCATATAACAGCATTTTTAGTCTATTTGATTTATATACTTTTAGTCTATTTGATTTATATACTTAGCATATTTTTTACCATGGTATGAATTTTCTGTGTTATTTTTAAAATATTAAATCATATAATTGTCAATATAAGTATCTCCCAACACTAAATGACTCTGAATCCTCTGTGATAGTTAAAACAAATAAGCCCAAATTGTAATGTTTATTTGAAAAACAAAATTTAATGATGCACACAAAATAGTATCTTCATTTCTAATTGCAACTTTAAAAGGGAAAGCTCAATGAGAAAATTAAGCAAAATACAAGATAACACATATTTCTAAAAAGTGATTAGGATACACAGCATCTATTTTTCCCCAATGTCATTTGGAGAATGAAAAAATAAATATGGTTATAGAAAGTATTAATGATATTCAGGGAATAAAACTGTGTTATAAATTTTAAGCCCCAGATGACTAGGTAAAACTTAAGAGGAGTTTTATGGATACTATCTACCAATATATTTTTCCCAAACTACCTCTAAGGTCTTTTAAAATACATCGCAAGGACATGATAGGGTTTTAGAATATAAAAGTTACCATGTGTAAGGTATTAGGTACAAGGTAAAATAAGGCAGTATGGTATCTCTGTAGCATATGCTATCATTGCTTTTCATTTTTAGAAACATAAAACTTTCCTGGAAAGCTTTCCCCATCATTCTCAGGTTTAAAGTTAACATAATTATGCAACTCTAATGTAACAAAAATGTACCCATGATCTACTGTTTGAGAGCTAATAGTTCTCAAGTAAGAAGATAAAGCACTTATAATACTTAAAAAAAATATAATAAAAAAAGCAAACCCAAAATTAGAAGTGAAACCATCCCACTGACACCTACCTCCTGGAAATGCCATTCGCCAGGCATTTGTGGGTACAGGATTTGGAAGAGAGGGGTGATGAAGTTGGGGACAAATTCAGAGGGGCAATCAAGCTGTTGATGATCTCGGTCAACTGTGCACTCTGCAAGAAAACAGGCAGCCTTTTACCACAACTAAGCCATAAATCTGAACTAAATCTTAGGACTTTAGTGCTGGTCAAATGTTTAATTTCCCATGAAACAAATGCATACTGTAGTAAATATATAATCTAGAGTTATTTATAACACTGCTGTTTTTTTTAAATATTTACTATAAGTAAATCTAACTTAAGATACTCTTCATTTTTCCATAACCTTTTTTGTTAGTTCTTTCACCTATTCATTATCTCCTCTAAAACACTTTAACTCAAAATGTAGCATCCATCTATTTCCTTTAAGGCAAATTAAGAATAAAAAAATCATATCTATAATCTAGTAAGAGCAACTATGTGCCAGACACTATACTAAGTACTAGACAGAATAATTTTTAATCTTTGCAACTAACCTGTGAAATAGATAAGAGCTACTACTATTACAAAGATCAATTACAGTTGAAGAAATTGAGGCAAAATAAAATTAAGCAGCTTGATTAAAATTTATGAACTTGGTAGGAAATGAAGTTTGGATTCAAATTCAGGCTTGAATCCAATGCCACTCAATTTCTCAATTATTTTTCATAATTCAAAGTCAATTCAATTTTTTTTAAGAACTCAAAATTTTCACCTTTATCCCAAACATAAATGTATAAATATATATAATATTATTCTCGCCAATAATTTAGAAGAATTATAATACAATGTCACCAAAAGGGAAATAGTAATTTCTACAAAGAACAGGAATATTTTCATCATACATATAGGACATTTCATTGTAGAAAAATGGAAAGTAGAGAGGGTTAAAAAGGGAAATGAAAATCCTAAGTGTATATACAAAATGTGCATGCATATACACATGTACTTTTTAATTAAATCATGCCATATCAATTTTCTAAATCTTGGATTTCTCTAAAATTTAAAAAATGTATATACCTATTTCACAATTTTACTAAATAAATGACAGTATATTAAATGCAGTATATATTAAATAATTATTTTGAAATTTCATTTGTACAAAACTGCTTTAGAAATGAGATTAATATGAGAACTAAATCTAATACTTGAATTTTCCAAAAGTCTGTGATAAAAAGACCCTAAAATGCTTTCACCATTTCATTTTTTTGACAAATATTTACTAATAATTCTAGTTTTAAAATGATCACTCAGATTTTTTCAGACTAAAGTTCATTTTCAAAATCACCCACATAAATAGATTCTTTATCTACTTAGCAAGTATTTACATGTAAAGAAACTTAGAGCACATCATATTTTCCAATCTGAAATAGTGACACACAATTATTGTTCTACCTTCAAAAATATCTAAAAACCCGTAAGCCACTGGAGGTCACTGGTCCAGTACATGTGAATAAGTGACCTGAAAGAACAGCATTACAGCAAGCCCCTTGCTTTGCCCTCATAGCCACTCCACTTCCGTCCTTATAGGGGTTATGAAGCTCACAGTGAAAATGAGAATGAAAGTAAATTCTCTTCATTTACAATGTAAATTTAAAAAGTGTGAAATTTATTTAAACCATTAATTCATACTTTCAATTTATGAGTAAAATATATTACCTAATGATGCACGTATGCATTAGTACTATGAATCAATGTTATTTTTAAAAACTTCCCAGTCTGCAACTCAATAGTGTCTTTGTAGTTTGCTCTTTATTTGCTTTGAAATACATAAATGAATTTCATTCGTTAAACAACCCTTTAACAAAATCAATAATCAAGTGAAAGAATTACCTTAAATTCTTAAATTACCTTAAAATCTATATTTACATTTTACTATGGTTAATAAAGTTACATACCGATAGGTAATCTTAAGCAATAGATGGGTAATACTGGCCAGGCCATCCATGATATTTAACTCACCCCTGAACTGTCTTCCTTAACAACTACTTGAAAATAACTTAATTTTATAAGAACTGGCTAATAAAAGTTTTATTAGCATGTGTTTCAAGAAAGAGGATACACTCACAGGTAGTTTATTAATGGCTTCTACAAGTGATTGTTGCTGCACATTTCTGCATCCTCTTTCTCTGCTCTGTAAGTCTAGTGTTATTCTTCCTACTCTCACAACTGCTGGTTCCCTTCCCTACCGAAACACTGCTATTCCTGTTAGCAATGCGACCTAAAATGGCTATCTTCATGCATAAGTAACTCAAGCATTCTTAATAGGTTGTGTTCAAACAGATCTCATGTTTGATTAATGTTCTGCTACCACTAAGTTAGAACTCTTAATACATGTTTTAAATTTAGATCTAAACAATATGGTGAACCAAGGAAAAAGAAAAAAATACAAATCTCTTTTTAAAGAATAAGCAGAGACCTTCAGAAAAACAAAGTAGATGTGACCAACCAATCGGTTATTCTAAGGCATGTGAAACAACTAGAATCAAACCAAAAGGGTTCTGATCCTGAGACAAGAAAAGGAAAAACATGAGTGGGAATATAACAAACATTAATTTAAAACACTTTATATAGTGAAGTGCACACCAATTTAACATCAGATAATTACAAACTACTGAATAACAAAATACTCATAGAAGTACTTTATTAATGTATTCCAATTAAGAAAAACTCTAGGCAATTGTACATTTAACAAATATGGGGTAAAAGAGTTATACCAGACACAGATCTAACAGGAGGAAGATTGTAGCCATCTGGTATGAAATTATTTCCCAATGTATGCTAGAAAAACCTACAAAAACTAGGTGTGGTCAGGCATGAATCCAAATTACTGATTGTAACAATTTAATCAGTAGCTATAGTCACAATGTGATTAGAAAAAGAATTTTTCAAGCCTAGTAAAATAAGTTATGGCTATGTACCAGTACTTTACACATTATATATAAACCATTTAACTACATCAATATTATACTAGAAAAGGTTCATATAACAAATATTTTAATTGCTTAGAAACCCGCATCACAAGCTAATACATTTATTTGCATAGTTCATAAAGTTGATTAAAAGTCATTCATGTCACTCACACCTTACTCTCACTTCACATTACCTGTTTTTCTATGTTGCGAAGTAGTAGTGTAGGGCTACTTGGTGACATTTCAAAATCTTGTTCTGGTAAAGGATCTTGACTTTCTTGGGGAATCTGAAGATTCCCTGTAGTGTTTACTGAAGCTGCTTGGTCTGCAAATTGTATTTGTTTTTTCAAAATGTCTTTTGGAAGTTGACATTCTTCTAGGATCACTATTCCCTAGGCAAACAGCAATTAAAGAGTTGAAATGAAAACAAATTGACTGCTAGATCACTTTTGATGTTATAATATAATTGAAACCAAGCTTTTTATTATACCTTGGAAATCAGAAAGTACAGTTTAACTCTGTAAAAATGACTGATTTAAAACATGTGTAGCTAAAATGGCGTTTATGGCTGAAAAGTTAGGCTTACGATATACTGTCATAAATGATATATATACGCAGTTATTTTTCATCTTATTGGCTTATTAGTATTAAAAACGTGGCATATTTACAATAAAGCCAAAGATTTACTACACACGAGGCTATGAACACTTCAGACTGAAATTCAAAACATCTCCTTATATAATCTTCTGATATTTTAGTCACCAGCATTTCTATTTTGGTTTCATATTTGAGAACTTCCAATCTCAAATTAGAGATTCCAAATTAGAACACCAAACAGTAATCTAATTTTATACTAATTCCTTCATAGCACTAGAAGGTGCCAGAAAGCAATCATGGGCAAGACTGTACCATTGAGAAATAGCACACTCTAGGCTAATCAAAGTTTTTTTTGTTGTTGTTCTGACTCACATCAATTTATTATAAAAACTCTCATTAAACATAATTTTAAAAACTTCACTAAAATGGGGATATAAGGAATATACCTCAACATATTAAAGGCAATATATGATAAACCCACAGCAAATATTATATGCCAATGTGAAAAAAATGAAACATTTCCCCAATCAGAGTTTTTCTTGAGAAAAAACCTAAAGTGGAAACATTGGATGAAATAGGAAGTTGTCTCAAATTTTTAAGAGACTTCCAAACTGTTTCAGAAAGTAGTTGCATCAGTCTACATTTATGCCATCAAAATATAAAAATTTCAGTTGCAATATATTGTCATAAAGACTTGGCATCACCAATTATTTTAATTTTTATCATTCTGGTAGATATGCAGAACTATCTTGTTTTTGTTTTATTTTGGAAAAAATCCAGAAAGAAACTTGTACAAATTGTGAATGTACATTTAACATACTTTCAGGAACTTTTGAGATTGATGATACTATATCATGTCTAGTTTAATTTCTAAAATAATAGGTGACTAAAGAGCTTCTTTTAAATATATTTCTTCAAATTTCTTGATAGCCCTATTCATACATTCTAAGAAAACAGGGATTGAGATGGAATCAATAATTGGATCTCTTTGTTTTTGCAAGTTACTCACAATGTTCAAAGTACAGGTAAAAATAAATTAACTGATTTGCTGTTTAACCAAGCATTAGTAATAATATATTACTAGAAAAGAAATAATGTTTGACACCATACCTGATTATGTTCACTCTAAAGTTATATATTCTCTAAATTATGTATTGTAAACTAAAATGTCTTATATATATAACATAATCTATAACATAAATCTATAACATAACCTATCAACAATTCCCACACTGTTAACTCTCAAAATCTTTATACTGCATGCAAACAAGAATATGTACTCTAAAAGTACATTCATAAAAAATTGTACAGAAAACAAGTATAATTTTTTTTGACAAAGTATTACAGATTAGCAGCCAGGGCTCTCATGACAGCACTGGAGAGGCACTGGTAAAGAGAAATTTTTTGGATGATAAAATTACTGAATTATCTTGACAGTGGTCATATTTACATGAGCATATTTATTTGTCAGTCTCATCAAATTGTATATTCTAAATGAAGCATCTGATTTAAGACTTTTTAGTACAATCACTCAGAAAGGCTAACATGTTAACTATGAATTAGAAAAATGTAAAGGAAGAAAGGGAAATCCCTATGGTTCTGGGGGTGGAGGTGGGGTGTGTGTGACAAAACTAAAGCCAGAGCAATTAATTTATTAGCTAACAGCAAGGTATGATAAACTATTAGTCCAAGATAATTATCAATCCTAAATAACAAAATCCACACAGGAAAAGAAGCATTGGTCCTGAATAAAGATAGGTGGATAGCCAGCAAGGGAAAAAAAGAACCCATTTGGGGAAAAAGGAAAATTTAAAACTTTATCTATAATCAGCATCCAATCTCTGAATAATAATTAGTCTATGCTAAAAACCAAAATCTGAGGCTTATGGCAAGTTTAGAGATTTGAATATTCAAAAACAGATCCCTGAACAGATATACCCATAGGTTGTGTCTAGTATGATATAAAATGATCTAAATACTCTCAACTTAGATACTATGGTATTTGAACAGTAAAAGCAGGATACTTAAAGATAAGCTTACAGTAAATAAAAAATAAAATAAAAAAACATAAGTACACAATCCACAGGAGAACCAGAAATCACAATAAATTTTTAAGACCCAAAGCAGCTCATATAGTATAATAACAATCAGAATAGAAATATACTGACCATAAAATATCCTTAAGTGAAGAGAAAAAAAAGAGTTGAAACCATCCCAAAAAAATAGATATGGGAATAATTGACAAATGTTGCCAATAAAATCAAAATGATGTATTGATAAGATAAAGAGCAGATTCTCATTGTGAAAAATTAGTAAAGAACATATTTCAATGAGAAAAAATCTGGAGGTAGAGACAAAAATGTACATTTTAACAAGCCAGCCAGATGATTCTGATGTGTGTATAAGTTTGAGAACAATGGACCAGACTCCTGCTAACATGTATAATAAAATCTCAGCATCTTATCATATACAGGTTTATATTTCAGACTTGCAATATCCACTATAAGTACTGAGCATACCAGGTAAACTCTTAAGTGGTGCCTAGAAAATGCAGGTTGTTTGCGTCTTATAGCTATGCCATTTGGAATTTATAGCTTCCAGGTCATCATGTCAAAAGTGAGAGCAAAAAGAATATAGCCTTTAAATATTTTGTCTGTCCTCAAAATGTAATACATCACTTCTGCTAATAGTTCACTCCAGTAGTAACCCTGACTAACTGTAAAAGGATTAGGAAATACAGGGAAAATAAGAGAGTTTATTGGAAAGTTAGTATCTCTGTCACAACCTGTCCTTATGGTCAAATAAATATTACTTTGTTGATACTTTGAAATACACCCAACCCATATCCCCAAGGGAGATAATATATAATTACATTCAATTCAAATTTCAGGAATTTTAGGTGATTTATTTTCCCCAGTGGGTCTTGATATGGTTCCCCTTGTCTGGACATCTATGATCTAAGAAATTACGCCCCTTTCCACCCTATATGCAATGTTGGAAGAGGGCAATATAATCACATAAACATCACCATGTTGGAAGAAGAATAAAGAAGATACATGAATTTTTGCTCTGTATTAATTCTGAAAGTCAGTTGGACAGATAAAATGAGAGTCCTTTACCCTAGGAGCAGAGTTTGATTAGACTGGGATTTTTACCACCAAAGGATACTTTCAATTCACTTCTCTTTATGGCTCCTGAAAGTTTCTTCCCCTTCTACTATCTGCCCTGGCTATGTATATCAGTAGCTGGTGCCTTACCCCCTTTTTAAGGACTGCAAAGCTCTCAGCCTACTTATTCACAGAAGTCTAAGGTCCTAAGATTTCCTTGAACCATAAAAGGAACTTTTAGGACTCTTGATATCTTTGGCAGTACAATTCAGAAAATCAGAAGGATTAATATCTAATTTAAGTCAATTACTGGTGCTAAAAATATCATAGTTCTTTGAGACAATTTCAAAGGATATATGCATATTAATAAATATATATACATATATATATTTCTGTCTAAGTTTATCTACATACTCCTACTTTTCCCTTTTTCTCTTCCTGTACTTCACTGAAATATCCATGAAGCCATTGGGTTTTCATGAGAAATTCATATTCTTAATATTTCCCACCACTCCCAGGGTAGCTGTATTCAGTTTGAAGCTGCTCTGGAATATCAGACTTTTAGTGTGATATTTGTTCTTAGTTAACTCTCACTCTTTACTCTTTAAGGTTTTCTTCAACTCTTTGTCCTACAATATGAAGACTAGAAGCAGTACTGCCCACTTTGTAAGATCCTGGATTTCTAAACTCTACTCCCTACTATGCTTTTAAATAGATTTGAAAAAGACCCAGGTAGACATGTCATTGATGAAAAGTAAGATCAGAAAAGTCTATACAAAACATAAAGTTTGGATAGGACATAGCCAAAAAAACAAGTAGCAAATTAAAAGAAAGTAAGGAATTCCTCTCAGTATAGAAAGACAAAAATATGAAAGAGTAGGTAAGAGACACAAACAATTTGAGCTGCTCAACCCTTCTGGGAATTAAAGAAAGAGAGAATAGGAAAAACACAGCAGAAATGCAATATTTAAATGATAACAGCAGAGAGTTTTCCAGAAATAAAGATAGAATACCACTGATTAAACGTGCACTCTTAAAAAAAAAACAAAAAAGCTGTATGTTCAAAGACTTATATGCATGTGCAGAATAGCATTCTTCATAATAGCAAAAATGGAAATAAATTCCAACAATGGATGAGTGGAAAAATTATAGCATATCCATATAAATCAATGTCTACTCAATAAAAAGGAAGAAACTACTCACAAGCATACCTTGTTTCACTGTGATTTGTTTTATTTTCCTATGCAGATATTAAGTTTTTTTTTTTCCTTTTAATTGAATGTCTGTGACAACCCCATATGTCAAGTAGGTCTATCACAGCATTTTCTCATAGTATGTGCTCTCCTTGTGTCTCTGTGTCACATTTAATTGAGGTAGAGTGCTACTTGTCATACACCTGACAGACTATAATATAGTATAAACATAACTTTTATCTAAAACAAAGAAATCCATGTGATTTACTTTACTGAGATAATTCATTTTCTTACAGTTCTGGAACTGAAGCTGCAATGTGTGAGAGATATGCCGTATGTAACAGAAATAACATTAAAATCATTATTCTAGGTTAAAAAAAAAAGCCAAGTATGAAAGATGATTTATTATTTGATTTATATTAAATTCTGGAAATAGTAAAGCTATGGTAGCAAACATCTGTGGTTGTCAAGGTCAAGATCCTGAAAGTAACAGAT